TAGCTTAGACCTAGCAACCTGTGACTACTACCTCTTCTTTAGAGAATCTCACCCTTTAAAACTGAAAAAAAAAAAAAAACCTGCAATTTGTCAAGAACCGTATATATGGCCTCTATGTATATTTTTCTGTAATTATGAATGCCTTATTCATCGTAAAAGTACATCAGATCGAGAAATAACAAGCATAAGCCACTACTGCGCCGACCACACAAACACCAAAACAAGCACATACACTCAAAACTCGTTATAATGTAACGAGATATAACGAAATAGTGAATATAACGAAGTAAATAAAATTCCCCTTGGAAGCTCCATTGTGAACCATGCATTTTAAACCTCGTTGTAACGAAGTGAAATTGACCGGTAAATGGATATAACGATCTAAATTAGTCTATCAGAAAAAAAGGACCATAGTGTGTTGAGTATATCTTTTTCTGCAGAGTTTGACGCTCGTTCGGCACGGCTCTTTCAAAACTACTGCACTGACCATACGACCACGCAACGCGCAGCCGAGAGAGTCATCCTCTTTACACAGCCAGCGGAGAGGATTAAAGAAGCACTCAGCAGGTCACATGACTGAGAAGCGGCACCGCGATGCAAAGCGATTTCCCTCTCCGTGCCTTAAAAAGGACGGCAAAGGCTGCGTCTCTGCTGCTACCCTCTGCACCGAGAAAGAAGACTCTCCGCGACAGATTTCTTTTCTTTTTTTCTTCTCTCTGCGCGCAGCCTTGAAAGAAGAAGGGTCTCTACGTGCAGAGACGGAAAAGGGAGAAGCGTAGCACAGGCGCGTCGTAGATCGGCATTTAAGAGAGAGCAAACAATTCGCTAGTCTTGTCTTTCCTTTCTTCGCGTGCAGCGTTGAGAGGTGCGGCCGCAGGATTGGGCCTGGTGGTGAGAGCCTTTTCGGAGCGCGGTATGTTCGAATTAACCATCGCAAGTGCTTTCGCGTTTGAATTACAGGGCGTTTTCACCTATTGGAATGCACATAGCTTTGACAGAACCTCAGCGTGAGTTCCAATTAGGTGTGTTTGAATTAATGAGGTTCAACTGTGTTTATTTTCCGTTGCACGCGTGGTCGCTAGTGAGTTCAAATTAACCAGAAGTTCGAATTAAGAGTGTACGAATTAATGAGGTTCAACTGTGTTTATTTTCTGTCGCACGCGTGGTTGCCTAGTGGTACATCGGGCCACGAAGCAGTTTCTTTCTTTGCATGCTTATAGGCGTGTGACCATACATTGCCACAAACTGTTATAATCGATATTAAAAAGTAATGGATATAACGAAATAATTGTGGCTGCCCTTCAACTTCGTTACAACGAGGTTTGAGTGTATTCCGGTTACGTGAAAAAAAAAAAAAATGAACGAAGGAGGACATTTATTCGCAGAACCCAAATATGTGTTCAAGAATGCATCAGCCAAACCAAGTGAAAGCTTTACTGCAACCAAAAAAAGCCCGATTTCAAACCATTACCATTCCCGCGCAGTTAAACCAATCAGGGCCACCTTGATTTTGTTAATGAATTCCGCCACATTTTTTTTTTTCATAGCATTTGGCAGTAGTGGTGTTGGCGCAGACAAAGCATGATTTGCTTATGAATCGGGGAGGCTCGGAGAGGTATGTAGAGTATAAGTGTATTCCGAAGAAGTACGGTCACTAGCGTGGGTTCGGTCTTAGCGAGCCGCAGGTCAAGCGTTAACCGTTGCTTCTGCACGTACGCGTTGGGACAGCCATGGCACAGAGAACAGGGTGGTAAGAACACGGTATTGCTCTCAGCAGGTCACAACACTAATTATTTGCGGCGACACCAAAACTCAGTGCAGAGCCCGTTGCAACGGTCGCGGCGGGAAAGCAAATAGGCTGATCGACGCCACGGACGAGACGTACTGCAAAGGATGTCGCGAGCACGTCTCTGTGGGAAAAAGTTGTTCACGGGGACACCGAGACAAAGAGTACGCAGTCGCTTGAGCAAGGGCAAAAAGACTCCGCTCGCGTTAGCTTCGAGAGCTATGAGTCGGCGTAGTACGATCACGCACAAAAACACTGCACCGCTCTTCGGACCTAGCGTTCGAAAGGGGTAATGAAAGGTGAGAATTCACCTCGGGCGCAAGGCGCCATTCGTGAAGTCTGACGAGCCCCGAACATTAGGAGGCGATGAACGGGAAAGAAATGCATTTTCACCCTAGTCGTTCCAAAAAAATTCTGACTCGCTCCCACGCTCGCGAGACGCCTCGAGGGACTTCGCGCACAGCCGACATCCAATACCGGGTGAGAGGGGTTAACCGTCACCTTCGCTCCCTCAGTGCGACAAACCGCGGAGGAGGGCAGTCATGTCAGGATATGAGAACAGCAGAAATAGGTAAGCCCGCGCAATGAGGGCGGGCTAGCCTCAATTCCCACAGGTTTTAAAGTTTCCACTGTCTTTTTGCGAGCTACAATTGGACTAAGCGTGCGCCCTTCCAGGGACAAAATGAGGCAAGGTGGCAAAGGATACAACTCAAATCTGCAAGCTCATTTTAAACTAAGATATATGAACGAAACTTTCAAAGCCCTTTCTTTTGAAATCACATGATCTGAAATCAAACTATTAAATTTCCATCCGATTTTCGAACATGAATAAATTTCTCAGGTCAGGACAAAGCCATTTTCTCTATTTTTAAAATTTGTAATAACTATGTTAATTTCATTATTCAAAGCCTAATGAGCCTCATTAAATTTAGTGCTCTAAAATATTTTATCAAGCTAACTTCTAAAGAAGGGGGTCTTGGCTTAAAGTGTATCCATCCAGAAAACTTAGGGCCAAAAAATGGTTGTTTCTTTTCTTAGTAAGGAAGCTTTCAGGACTGGTAGTTGGGCTAGCTGGTGATGTACTATGGGCAGTACCAGTGCACAAACTCACGGGACGAAGAGAAGGACACTTGTTTGTGTCCCTTCTCTTTGTCCCATGAGTTTGTGCGCTGGTACTGCCCATAAGGTTGCTTTTATTTTGATGAGGCCGTCTTATGTCACTCTGAAAGCTTTTCCACTGACGCACCCTCGGTAAAGGCTTCCTTGGTGCTTCCTCAGCTTAAGGTTGCTTTGGGGCTACCTTCGTGCAACCTTAGGTCCACTCCTAGCCCTGAACAAGTGCTTATCCTCACAGCTAGCCCACATGATGGTTTTACTAGTGTCGTGAACGTCCGACTTTCCCCAGCGGCGGCGCTGTCCGTTGCTAGTGCTTGAGGAGTGAAGGTTAACGACAGGGTGCATGTGGAGTTTTGAAGACGCTAACCAACCTGCATAGTCCCCAGACCTCTTTTTTCCTCATTTAAAATATATAAGCGGCTGCGCCTTCTCGAGGCTGTATTTTAAACTCTTTTAGCCTCACTGACTCGTTCACGACACAAAGAAAACCTTTCTAACCACTGTAGCGTTTAAATACGCGGGCGTTTAAGCGTCGCTAGACTGCATCACGTTTTGCGCTTGACTACAGTGGCTTTTCACATTTAGTAGTCCCACTTTGAAGAAAGCGTATGCACATCTTAATTTGGAAGTGATGGGGTGACCCAATTTCATTTACAGAATAGACACTTGAAAGCAAAGGTTATATTCGATATTCTTGAACTGCAAGGGCACAACAACCATTCCTCCCAAGAGGATGGGTGAAGGGAGCTTTCAGAGTACGCTTGCTTCCTCCGTCGGTACTTGGCTGTAAGGAGGCCTCACGCAAGGGGAGAATGGGGCCACAGGAGAAGAATGTTTGGTTGTTTGGCCTGCAGGCACTGCTACAATGGAAAATGATTTGAGTCAAGAAAACACTGGTTCTAACATAGAGATGACAGATGTGGCAGAGGTGGGAGCTCAATGCTGTTCTGAACATGAAATTTAAGTAGGAAGTCTGAAAAATTGTACGTCAGAAATTTTTAGCATCCAAAATTTCATATGTTCTTATATCTTAAATGTCTTAGAGGCAACTTTGGAACTCTCGACTCGAAAAGAGCACACCCTTGTCCGCTACATCAGTTGGGCTGCCAAAAGAAGTTGAAAGAAGATGAGATGTTGAGCAAATAGCATCTGCGTTAAAGGTACACTAAAGAGCATAACAATTTTGAAGTACAATATCACAATCTTGAAAACACCACTTTGACCGTGACACGACACTTGATAAGCTAGAAAATGCACGAAAAGAAAATGTGGGCGGAGACCCCACCATGAAGTTCCTACACCAAACACAAAATTTGTGCATTCACAATGTAGTAAATTGTGAAGGTGTATACTGGATCCTGCATAGCTTCTACTCGATAAAAATGAAGTACATGTCATCTGTGGGTGCCATACAGCTAACATACGAAGTTTCGGTTAATTTTCGAAGAGCCAATGTCGCGAAAATACAATAAGTACATTTTGAAATTTATTATGACACGTGCAGAAATTTCGGCACGAATTTTAAAACTGAAACTTCAACCTCGACTTTCTCCGCTAATAATGAACTTATGACATTGGAACTTATGGCAGTACAGTTCTCAGAGTGCAGCTTATCGATCTAAACTAAGTCAGTGTTTCTCTTTAGTGTCCCTTTAAGCGTTGTCGGTGTCACTTTGGTTGCACCAAACCACATACACGAGTACAACTCAGCCCCTGCATTGCTTCATTCTTGGTAAGTCAACAGTGAAACACCACTACACCAACACTTCATCATCCTAGCAAAAATAAACACTTCTCTTGCTATCATATAAGAATATGCTTAGGAATCTTCTCCAACTTTTTGTCAGCAAAGTGACTTTGAAGCATTGGAAAAATCTTCTAGAAATATTTGACTCAATTCGCACTGACACCTCAATAAAATTTTACTATTCGCACAACTCTCATAGGCAACCTATTTCAGATGGCGATCCTCGATGTACGGTGACACGTGATGGCATTGCTTGTATACTCAGCTAAAGAAATGTAAGTTTATATGCGCTCTGTTCAGCAGTGGACTATGATGAATGAACAGTGGAAATAAATGCATGCACACACTTACCACTATGTGGGGCTTCAGGAATTTCCAGGAGAAGGCATGAGACACACTGAAAAGTTAAAAGTGCACAGGTCAAGCCCAAAAGAAGACAAAAAAAAAAAAAATCGGCCAATCCCACGTACCTTTGGGATCGATATCTTGCGAATAGAAGGTGAATGTTTTGTAACTTTTTATTAAGCAAAATTTTACAAAGTGGCACTACAGATATGTGCAAATATATTCACAGACACACGTTAAACAGCAGCACATGTTTTATATAAACAATTCTTTACAGTTGCATAACAATGCCCACAGTAACATGCATATTACAGTGATGCTACAAAGGTCTTCTGATAAGGAGCAATGTTTGGAGCAGAAAAATTCTCATTTTAGAGCACTTTGGAGCTGCAAAAGTTTTCGTTTTGCAGTGCTTTGAAACAGGTAATCTTGAATCTGGAAGCACTATAGAGCAGCTAACTTCACATCCTGGAGTACACTGGTGAAGCAAGTTTAATTTATAATCAAGAACATGAATAATTACTTTTGGGTTCTTGTCAGGAAGCTAGAAATATTTAGATACATAGAAAATCTCATGAAGCCAATACTCTTTGAGCACTCCTTATTTCACTGGATGATGCTAAAAATATTGACATCATGCCATTAGGCATTCTGGAACAGCTTGTTCAGCGGCTACTTTCGTTGCAAATAAATGTAATACTCATTCAATAAAATTGTGCTTTATGAAATAACATTCAAAGTACACCAATATGGTTATCAGCAGACACAGTAGACAAACGCTATGACAGCTATGACAAAGAACATTAGGGACTCGCACTGTCCCAAAACTGCATTCCCCTAAGACGATTCGAAGCAGATATATAAAGGTTCTTTTTCTTCACAAGTTATTACCGTAAAAGCCCAGGTAGAGCCTGGGATTTTTTCCTAGATATTAGGGTACGAAATTTCGGCCCCGTACTAAATGCAGGTCCCAAGAATTTTCGGCCGAAATTCAGTTTTGGTTTCGACACAGCACGGTGCTATCATTATCATCAGGTGTTTATGCGATTCTGCGCTAGGTGCTACGTAGTGTTAGCGGCAGTAGCAAGCGTCAGTCTTACTGACTAACGCATGCAACAGTGGTCAGTGGCCTTTGCTTCAACTTGACGCCCATAAGGACGGCCACGATTTTGCTCCTGTGATTTTACGCCATGTCAGCACCGTGCAGGAAGTACTCAGCTGATTTTAAAAAGGAAAGTTATCGCTACTGCCGAAACCCTAAGCAACTGTGCCGCAGAGCGACAGTTCCGAGCCGACGAGCAGAGTATTCGGCGGCTGGCTTAAGCAGAAGGGCACCATCTTTACTTGCAGCGGCCAGCGAAACAGTTTCTGCAGACCAAAAAAATGGAGTATTTCCTGACGAGTGTGCCCTGACATAGAACGATAACTCGCACACTTTGTGCCGGAGCAGTGAGCTTCACATCTCCCTGTTAATATTGAGCTGCTACAAGCGAAGGCAAGAGAGATCGCCAGAGACACAGGTATTCAGGCGAAGGATTTTAAAGCGAGCAAGCATTGGGTGTCTCTGTTCATGTGCAGCGCTGGGTTCTCCCCATGTCGGCGTACGTTGATCTCGCAGAAGCTACTAAAAAGTTAATGAAGAGGACGCTGTAAGGTTCGAAAAGTATGTAATTGCATTTCGAAAGGTTGTCCCCTTCGAGCTGGGCCAGACTGGCAACGGGGATCGAACCCCGGTCTACCTGGATATGCCCTTGGCACTGACGGCTGCATCAGAAAGGCTCCAGGCAAGTTATTGTACGATCGACTGGGAACAAAAAAACGCGGGTTACTGTAATGTTGTCTTGTGCTGCAGACGATCCAAAACTACCATTCCTAAATGGTGTTCAAATGAAAGACTCTGCTGAAGGGAGAGAAGCTCTTAAAAAATGTTGTCTTACGCTGTCAGGGTAACGGGTGGATGAACGAATCGATAGTGCTTGACTGGATAAACTAAGTGTGGTGTGGACGGCCTAGAGCACTACTAGGGCTCCCTTCTGATGCTCGTGCTCGATGGGTTTCGATGTCACCTGACCGACTCAGTAAAGCGACTCTGCACCAAGCAGTTGCAGCCGCTTGATGTGTGTCTAAATAATACCCGTCACACGTGGCAACTGTGAAATTTAAGAGAGCAGCAACTGAGAGCAGCAACTGTGAACTTTAAGGTGGAGGGCCTACTCCGGCAGCTTCAGCTCTGCATATCAGTCATTGTTTGCTGAGGCACTACACTTACTGCGCTCATCATATTGATTTGAATTGTATCGCATTAGAAAGCTTACATTCTCCACTTTCTAATGACAGCTAGAATTGTTGCTAGCTCGGAGGCGGTACTGCATAGCAATGAATAGAAGGCGAGTAAAACCAGCATTTTTGCTGTACAAACCTTCGTTGTACTGGCAGTGCGGCAGAACTCTTCAACATACCCTAATGAAATTTGCTGAGACTCTTAAAGCATTATGCAAGGTGTCGATGAGGCCAGATTGCCAGTAAAGCTACCGAAGTGATGCAGACTCCAATAAAATGGGCAAAACAATGCAAGTTTATGAGTAAATAACTCTTTTCTTTTTTTGTGTGTGTTGAACAATATTGAATGGTTTTCCAGGCTACAATGTACTTAATGTCTACGCGAAGTTCATGAATTATTACAACTAGAATTCGGCACTTTATGGCTCGACATGTTCAGGCATTACAGACAAAGGGACAAAACTATCCAAGCTGAAACTCTGAAATCTTCAATATTTAAGCATCAAGCCTTCCCTTAATTTCTATCAAGAGAAGATTGTCTTAATTAGAAAATTTCTAGGACAGCAGTGAATTTAGCTCATTTTCTTGCTTGCAACGTTTGTGCAAATTTACTTTCATTTGTATTTTACAAGCTGATTCACAACAAACATCGCACATTACCCATGTCATGTCTTGTAATTACCAGTGCTCACTAAGCTTACGAAGTAGTGCTTGAAACAAATGATCTTAAAAAAATAATCTCACAATTTATGGTGTTGGCGCCATCTGCAAAAAAAACTATGCGTTTGTCAAAAGTAATGCCTCTAAACAAGTGGTGCCTCTTCAATGCACATAGTAACCGAAGAGGATGCTGAAAAAAGAAAAAAAAAATAGAAGAGAGGGAGTGACAGAAAGAAAGCTTATCGCATAACGAGGAATTAAGCCTATTCTGCAGAGAATTCCAGGACTTGCTTGTTTGCTCGCCTTTGTAGCGAGGAGACTGTAGAAGCAATTTTCAATTATACACAGAAGCTGACCTTTCCTTCTCCTATTTTTCAGACTCATTACCTGGAAGTCTGCTTTCCCTTGAGGAGAGGGAACGATTACGTGGCAGTGTACGTGCGTTTTACTTTTTCACGCAACACAGTTTGGACGACAGAATAACAATGAACCTTTTCGAGAGAGTAGCCTGTGCATGCGAAGTGCTGATGACTTTACGCGCGCTATGTTTTTTGCGGGTCACAAGGCCGAACAGATAAACAGTTGCAAGGATGCCAACAGGTGCAAATTGAGGGGCACCTGGCACCGTTTGCAAATTATCACAAAAAACACCAAGCCCCCGATTTAGATTTCAGTGACCCCCATGTAGGCGCTGTTCAGAACTTAAAGAAAGCCCATTGACAAGTTTATGGAAAACAAAGTTGCTTGCATATGCGCAGCAACTATTTTGTAAGCTGCCAGTTAGCGAGCAATATTTTCTTGACTGCAGCGAAAAGTGTGGAACAGCGAAAACTAGAATGCCGGAACAGCGCAACCTAGAGGTTAACTACGGAAGCGAAAAAAACAAGGACAGAAAAGAGCGCTCTTTTCTGTCCTTGTTTTTTTCGCTTCCGCAGTTACTAAGTAACTACTTCTAGGTTGCGCTGTTCCTGCATTCAGTCAAGTCTTGCTAGCCTGCACAGCAATGCAGATGATGCAAGCAAGGGTGAGACAGCTGCGTATATAGCACAGTTTTGATACATTTCTGTTTTCCTGTGCCAAGCTGCTCTAAACGGCATAAAAGTCACGAAAATTGCTCCGAACTCCTCGAAAAAAAAAAAGCCTTTAAAGCTAGAATTTGGATAACAATATCAGCTTCAGTAGAAAAAACACAGAGTTTGACTAATGAGACGCACCGAACCGTGTTTTTGCATCTTTCTAGTGACGAAGGTTTCCATGGTGTCACCATAATCTCCTTTAAGGGGGGGACACGGGTCTTGGCGACGAAAAAGTAAAAAAAATAGATTTTGTCAGTTTCGTGATTTTCCTTATTTTCATATCATCCCGCACCTGCCAGCAAAAAATGAACTCGAAAGATGACGCGCTGTTGAGCCAACAAATGTCGTGTTTATTCATCCCAGCACTTGGTTTCGCTTACGAAAACTCCGAAAACAGCCCCCTTTTGCCTTGCTCGGATCGCGCTAACCACTCATCAGATCGTGGCCATCTTAGTCTCGGTTTGAAAGAGCTTCTGTTCAGCTCGCTTTCCTGCCAGGAAAGAACCTTCATTGCTGCAGCCAGTCTGCGTTACCAGGCAAAAACAAGCGACGAAACCGTGTGGTATCATTGGTCCATAGCAGTCACGTGAGTAAACAGCAGCTTGTGATTAGAACGCGGGGACTGACAACACTGGTGATCACGCAAACACGCGCATTGTCACTGCCATTTCGGAAGTTTAGTAGTTTTGCGATCGAATCGAGATGCCAAATTGTGCTCGAAAGTTCCGCACACTTCACAAATTCGGCAAGCTACGGAAAAAATGTGCTGTGCAGCCCAAGGAGTCATCGCAGCCAGCGCAGGCTACCCCGGCAGAGCTGAGCGGGACAGGTGACCGGCAGTCGCCGCGATGCAGCAGACCGACACAAAGGCAGCCTTCGATCGCTACAACTTCTACCAGTGGAGACACGTGCTCAGAGTGCCATAAATCATCGCAACTGCGGAGGAAGGTATCTGCAGATCTCGGCGGAAGAGTGCAACGGATTCCGCGACGAAGCGGCGTTGCTACACAAGCGATCGCGACGGTGACTGCGGTGC